ACTATGTCCTAATATATTGACCCAATATCTTAGTGACAGTTCAATTCTTCTAAGATCTAAAGGCATTTCTCCCATTTCAATCTGCAAGGCTGCAGTTGGTGTAGATCTCATCGCCCCCGTACATAATCGCAATGCCTTGTACTGGATTTTGTCCACCTCTTTTAACACACTATTAGCAGCAGATTGATACACTATACTCCCATAATCAAATACAGATCGTATCAATCCTGTATATATACTTCTTAGAGCCATCCTCTCAGCCCCCCATTCTTTCCCCACTAAACATCTCATAACATTCATTACCCTTTTACATTCATCAACTATTTTTTTATGTGTATTTTAAACGTGAGTTTTTCATCAAACCATATACCCAAAAATGTAAAACATGATACTCTTTCTATATCTTGACCATATAATTTCAATTTGACCTCTTTACTAATCCTACATTTTGAAAAGAATACATTTTTTGTTTTTTCAACAGAGAATCTAAAACCCCACTTATATGACCACGTTTCTACTTCTGTTATTGCTTCTTGCACTTTCCTTACAACAAACTCTAAATTCCTCCCTCGTTTCCAGACTGCACCATCATCTGCATAAAGAGAAATTCCTATTCCCTTTTCAACGCTTAAAAACACATCATTAACCATAATAGAAAATAATAAAGGACTAATTATACTCCCTTGTGGTGTTCCATTTTCTACCTTTATTATCTCTGAAAATTCTTTCCCAATCTTTACTTGAATAGATCTTCCAAATAGAAAACCTTTAATCCATCTTATCATTTTTCCTTTAACTCCTGCTTTTCTCAATTTAATTATTAACCCTTCTTTCCACATCATATCATAAGCTTTCTCGATGTCAAAGAATACTGCCACTACACTTTCTCTATTAGCCTGAGCTCTTCGTATTTCATGTTCCAAACATACTGTAGGGTCCATAGTACATCTACCTTTTCTAAATCCACTTTGATAATTACAAATATTCCCTTTAGTTTCCATAAAATATGTTAGTCTCTGATTTATAATTTTTTCCATTACCTTACATAAGTGCGAAGTAAGAGAAATTGGCCTGTAATCACATGGACTATTACCTTCTTTCCCAGCTTTACGTATTGGAACTACTACAGCTTCTTTCCAGCAACTAGGTAATTGTCCCTTTACCCATATATTATTATATAACTCTAAAAGAATACTTTTTGACGATTCACTTAAATTTTTTAACATTATATAGCATATCTGATCTTTACCTGGCGCTGATAACCTAGTACTTCTTAATGCACTATTTAATTCTCCTATTGTTAATGGCAAATTAAGTATATCATCTACCTCTTCATCTTCCATAATTAATTCTCTATATCTTAAAACTGTTCCCTCTCGTCCTTTCCTCCCTTCTTCGTTAACATTATCCGAACTATGGATTTTGACAAATGTTTTTATGATCATTTCCGCTGTCTCCTTCTCTGTCACAGCTGTGCCTTCATTATTTATTAATGTAGGATATCTAAACTCTCTCCTAATTCCATTCATTTTCCTTATCATGCCCCATACTTTATAAATATCTGTTTCTCTTACCACTGACTCACAAAATGATCTCCAATATTCCCTTTTTGCTGTTTTAATAGTTCTTCTTACCTTTGCCTGCATCTTATTAAACTTGATTAAATCTTCAAAATTATGTTATTTTAAGTATTTTAAAAACGTTGTTCCTTTCTTTTATTACTTTCCCACATTCTTCCGTCCACCATGGGACTATCTTCTTTCTCCTATTCCCTAAACTTCTTGGAATTGATTGTTTTGCTGCTTCTATTATAACTCCACAAACTATTCGATTTAATTCCTCTATTTCCTCACCACTATTAATTACTCCCATCATTTCATCGCTTATCTCCCTGAATTTCAACCAATCTGCTTTACTAAATACCCATCTTTCTGACCCACTTGACTCATTTATTTAATTTCTTATACCTATTTCAATAAAAATTGGATAATGATCACTTCCCAACGTTTACTATTTTAATATTTCCTTCATTTGTCCAAACTTCAATTACTATCAATTCCAATTCCTTTCCTTTTACCATTACCTTATAATGTATATTCTGTTTGATAAAAATACCACATCCCCCCCCCCCATTACCCTTGTCTCTATCTCTCCTAACACTATCATAACCTGTTATTATAAAATCTAAAGATGGTTTCAACCAAGTTTCTTGGATGCAAATTATGTCCAGTTTTATTTCTAAATCATTGATAAAACTTTTGAATTCCTGTCCATTTGCCAATACACTCTTTGCATTCCATTGAATTATAAACATTAACTCTATCTAATTTGGCTTGAAGACCTTCCTTCCGACTCAAGTCTTCTGGTAATCTGTTCCCAAGAGAGGTTTCTGACTGACAAAAATTTCTCAGCACCTTTTGTAATAACTTTAATTTTCTCTGTTTTATGTTTTACCTGATCCGTGCAATTGATAACATATGCTATGAACAAAATAAAATGTTCTATGTTCATTGATACCTCTTTTAGGTTTCTCACATTATCCTGGGTTCTTACATATTTGGCTGCCCCCTCCTTTATTTTTCCTTCTTGAATTCTTTTCACTGCCTCTGCATAACTTATATTACTCTTTGTTTTAATTTGTTGGACCTCCACTGCTCTTTTCCTTACCTCACATCCTCCATATGTTACACTATGATCTCCACCACAGTTACAACACGCTACCTTCACATTTTCCCCACATTCCTCATACCTATGCTCTCCCCCACACTTTGCACATCTTTGCTTTCCTCTACACACTGCAGCAATATGTCCATATCTCTGACATTTGTAACACCTAAGAGGTGGTGGAACATATTCTCTGACATAGTAGCTCATGTATCCTATTTTAACCCTTTCTGGAAGTTTTTCATCTTGAAAGTCAATTAACACAGACAAACTGGCAACTCGTTTTCCATTTACTGTTTTATTTAATCGTCTCACATTCGTCACTATTCCTCCTAGCATATTCTTTTTGATGTTGTCCAAATTCTCTTCGACTGGAATATCCCATATCACTCCCCATGTCCCCGTTTTTCCATGTATTACTTTTTTATCCACTACAGTCTTCTTACATACACTTCCAATATGCAACGCTTTGTTCCTTTGTTCCTCTGTCTTACATTTGATCAATATATTCCCGTCATAAAGGATTTTTGCTATTTCTATCTCTCCTTCTTCTTTAAATCTTTGGAAAATGCAATTGGACTTAAACCTATGTGTTCATCTTCTTTCCTCATTACAAGTATAATCTTGAATTCTTCCCTTTCCAATCTCCTCTGAATCGTCTGCTCATTTTCCTCGGAACTACTTTCTTTCAGACCCTTTTTTTTGCTTACATTATTTATGTTTCTATTCCCTCCTTCCTGACTTCTTCCTACAGCCCGCACTTTTTCACGCCCTACCACCATCCATTCGTCACTATTCATGTCATCATCTTCATACCAAGATCCTTCTCTCCTGACCCATTCACTAACCAGTTCATGCCTTCCGCCTTCCTCCAAATTTGCGGACTCATGCGATCTCCACAAGTTTAGTTCTAGGGCTGCACGATAATTTGCATGTGATTGTCATGCGCATCTCGTCAGTAAAGCCGGTTCCGTTATTCCGTGATTTCCGTGACTGTAGTTCACTGACAAGCTACGCAATATTGCGTTCATTATCATTATCGCATGTGATTCGTCTGCGATTATGAAAGCTTGTCAGTGAACTACGGCTCTGTGTAGTAAATGCCGCTCCATCTGAAAGCACGAGATGGAGATTTACTACTAATACTACTAACCAGCTTTACTGACGAGATGCGCATGATAATCACATGCGATTTATTGTGAAGCCTATTTAGTTCCTAGTTTGAAGTAGACTCAATACATGTGCTTTGATGTTTTAAGTAAAAGGGGAAGGAGACAACTGACACCCTATGTCCATTTACATTTAGTCATTTAGCAGACACTTTTATCCAAAGCGAATTGCAAATGAGGACAACAGAAGCAATCAAAACCAACAAAAGAGCAATAAAATGCAAGTGTGTAATGTAATGTGTAAGGGTCACAGACTCCCTCGAGGTGCTCTAATGTCTGTGTGAAATATATCCAGGTGGTGAAATTAGGGGTGCTACGAGAAGCTGTCCTTGGGCTTTGGCTGTTTTCACCATTGCTGAAGATGGAGCAGGCAGTGCTGTAGACTTCAATACCTCGTATTGTTCAATCTTGTAATGAAAACAGAAGAGATGAAAACCATAGATTAGCTTGTGTTAATGAGCCGCTGTTTTAGACATAAATAAGGTCTTTTTGCTGCTATCATGTCCTATATTTTGTCACCCCTTCATAGAAGGGTTATAGTGCCTGACACACACCGCTGGGTAGAATCTGAAATACATCAAAAATATATATCAAATACCTTAAAATTAAAATAGTGTAGATTAATGTTTTTGCCATAGACAAAGACATTTGTGTCATCCATAACATAATTCAGTCTGTGGATGGAATATATGTGGTGTTTAAAGTTTTTACACAGATGGAAAATTTCTACATGTGGATCAAGGTCGGGGTTGGATAACTTGTTCAATTATTAAGTGAAGATACTTAATGGTTGTTAAAAATTGCAATTATTTGGTAACAAAATCATAACCAAAATATTTATTTTCCTGGGGCATTGGGGTGTAGTAATTATTGATTTATAGCATGTAAATTAGTGTATCCAATGTTATTAAGTAATTTTAATTTCTACAGCTATCCAATGACCTCAGATTTTCTCAGAGTATATATTGTCTCTCAACCAACAGGAGCATTCAAGGTTGCCAAAGCATCACAGGTCTGTCACTAGTGTTTGCTATCTACAAAGATAGATTTGTTGTCATGCCCCTTTTGCACACCCACAGTTAAGGTGCACAGATCTATTACTTGCAGGATGTAGGTGGGGTTTGTTTGGGGTGAGGGTTAGAGTAGTGGGAGACTAAACAATTGCTGACTTAAAACTTTTGAACTGACAAAGAGTAGCTGAACTCCACAAAGATTTCTGGATACTTGTGGATTTTGGCAATGTGAGTATCCACAAGTAATGATGTTATTTAATATATTTATATATATACCATCCAGGATGATGTGGGAATCCACCACAAAATGGAGGGATCCTGCATCATCCGGCTATACTGGTGATAACAGAATTTAACAAAGAATGCTAATATATGGAATGAAGCAAAATGTCAAAAGGGGTGTTTTAAATTTTATTAAAATTTTGAAAACATTTTTACGGCAATTTCTATTTCAGATGTTTTTACTCGTCGAATTTATGGAAACAAAGACTGTCAACATTATATCTGAGTCATGGTTTGAGGATGGTGTCACTTGGTGGCCAAACTACAAAAGCGATGAACGCATAAACAGAGCTATTCAAAAATGTGAAGTGCCCGGAGCAGACTGGAAAAAGTATGATGTCCGTGTCCTCTTAAGAACTGGTAAGGGTCTGCTTTAGAACTAAAATTGTTATGAAACCACTGTTATGAAATTCACCACTTCCATAAAGATACTTAACATATTGAAAATTCGAATTATTACTGGTCTATGAAATATACATTAATCAATAAAATACACATTAATTTACTTTAACAGTCATTTAATAGTAGGTTTAGAACATTCTGTTACATATTTGAAAATAGTTGTTTTTGTTCACTGTAAACCCCCTTCTGTCACAGATTATAATAAAAAAGTTATTACTGTACTGAAGTTATTTGATAATATCACAAGATAGATTTCATTACATACTTTGTGTAAAGTGGTGATCTGATAGTCATCGTTTCTTGCATGTAAGTTTGCAAAAGTGGAGTAATTATTGTTATGACTTTTTGTTGTGAATTCTGATCAGGTGACTACCTTAAAGCAAGAGAGAAGCTGAGGGCCTCACTGACCTGTAATACATCTGAATTACAAACAGATGATGAGGAAGAAGTCATTAGGAAGAGAAAAATTAAGCAAAGGTTTTATATACTGAGACTGACACTCATGCATCATTTGAAAATGCATTCATATATATCTTTAAATATAGAGCTCACTTATTAGGCACTGTAAAATTCTATTTTTTGCTATGTTGAAAAAAAACAACAAAAAAAGTTTTGCACAACAAAGTGGTGTCCAGCTTTGTGAATTTTTCCATTCATAATTCACAGATTTCATTTCCAATATGTCAACTGACAATATGTCTACAGACAAAACTAAAAGCATTTTTCTCATCGGGAAAACAAAAACTTTATTAATGACAATAGTCCAGGAAATGGTCATTTTTAAACAGCTCTGACAGCAGAACTGAATAATTGAGTTGAATAATTTACACCTATTACAGAAACCTTCTCTCTCACGGCTTAGCCTAAGATTTGGTACGACAAATTGGATTTTTTTTTCTTCACATATTTTTATTGCAGAAGCAAATCTTAACTTCATTTAGGATTATTATCTTATCTCGCAAAATCTTATTTGATCTAATCTCTAAATTAGTCAATTGTAAACTACTTCATGTCACAGCTTTCTTCTGTTTCTTTGTGTTTTGGCTCAGTCTTCTTGTTGACCTAGTTTCTCAGTCTGTTGCTTTGATTATGGTTATGTTCACCTGTGTCCTCATT